TCCCAAACATGCACTCTCACAAACGAAAGTGCGAAAGTGTTTCCTCTGAATCATGATCTGATCAATGGTGAGCGAATGCATTGTATGCGGTTGTCAGGGTTCTAGGTCAGCCCAGGAAGCTTCTTCACGAGTATTGGGCTATTACTTCATCACAGACCTACATTCATAAGGAGTTGGCTTCAGCACGCATTAAAGAAGACATCAAAGCTGTAGGAAAGCAGGTGGATCAGCTCAAGGATGTTATCCGTGACCTAGCCATGAAAAGAAGATGCAGCATTAACGAGCTTGTCCACGCCGGGGTATCAAAGCGACAACTGAAGTAAGTGATGACTTATTGCAGGCGAAGAGCAAGGTAAAGAAGGTAGCGAATGACTTTTGTAACGACCGTTGCTCATCTAATCCCACTTCAGATTACTCATATTCATTGAAGAAAGTCAAGCCGAAGTCTTTTAAGGATCTGTAGGCTGTGCATAAGGTTTGCAACTAGGACGTCGTACTTCCTCCTCGTATGGCGTGATGTATTTGCTCTGATGGCACTTGTCGGTCTCTTGCCGATCCTTGTGGACTCCTGCGAAAAACAACTTCGCAAATCATCCAAACAGAGGCAAAACTCTCCAAACACCTGGAGTGTCACAGTCACCGAAAAATACCCAGAGAACGCAACCAGTATTTTCAGTGTACCTGGTCTTGCTGAAGTTGAATATCCCGCCCTCTGGAGGTATGTCTCATGTGGTTGCTAAGAGAGTGTTTGAGTTGGTAATGAGCAACGGCAACAGGCACGTGGATGAAGTGTTCGACATGTATCGAGAGGTATCTGTCAAGAATGTCGAAAGGTTTTAAAGAGTGTTTACCTCTGACGTTGAACAGTACAAGAACATACTACCTGCCAATACTGCGAAGTCAGGGAACAAGCTTTTCAGCGGACTGGAATGATGACGATCGAATGAATTTCATGTTTTCGGCCTTCTCCGAAAGCCGAGACGTAAACCCGAAACACTGGGACTCTAAATTACATTTCTGGAGCAAGGCAATCCTCGAAAGCTGTAAATATCACGGAGACATTCACATTGATTTAACGACACTAAAGCGAAGATTTTCGCGAAATGGCTTAACTCCTCTTGGGTTAAGTATTGTACTAAGAGAAATGCTTCAACAAGGAAAGCTTGAACGAAAACAGGACTTTTTCAATTGTAGTACGGAAGGGTGGATGTCTTGGTTTTATGGAGTGGCCAAGAGTACATTTTGGTGGAGTGCTCGTACTGTGTTAGGAGGAGCTGATGATGTAAAAGTGGATGAACAGTTCGTTTTAGTAGATGTAGCAAAGGTAAGCTAACTACGTACACAATACGATAGGGTCGCTTATTCCCCAACACACCTCTGTCATTCGTAAATGGTCAATACCGCGACTGTACCAATTCTTTTACTACTATGAATGCTATGGAAAATTGTTTCCACCACAAAATGTAGCAATACTGACCCTCACCACTAAAAACCATGTTCATCCGTGAACCTCCAACCCCCTTCTCCCTTGCCTGCCACTGAGACATATAAAAAAGCGAAACCCATTATCACTACTGAGAGATAAATAGGCTAACCAGAGCGTTATACAGACTAATCTGAGCACTTTTCACGCTAACCGAAGTGAAAGTGTAAAGGTCAACTGTAGGCTTGCACTCTGGTTAGCCTGCATAGCAAGAACAACACTCAGGTTAGCCTGTTTACAGTTACATGTAGTTCTCAATAGCGATAACTGGTCTAGCTTAAGGTGGGTTACTACAGTTTTTCTGAGACTCAGTAGCGCACACTACCATTGCCTGTCAGATGTCAGGGAGCAACTACAGAATACAGGGCCACTTTTGAAGGCGTATCTCTCAAGCGGCTCGGTGGCTCATGGGTCACATTGAGTGATGAAAGAACAAGTAGCGTGTATATTTTAGCGGCTCAGCGGCTCATTGGTCGTGTTCAGTGATGAAAGAAGGAGTAAGGTGTATATTTTAGTGTCTCGGTGGCTTGTCAGTCACGTTCAGTGATGAAAGAACAAGTAAGGTGTATATTTTAGTGGCTCGGCGGCTTGTCGGTTGCGTTAGATAGATAGATAGATAGATAAACTTTATTTAAACACGATAATAATTAAACAAGGCTGTTGCCTAAGAAAATTTTTAAGGAGCCCTTTGGGCTCCTTCCACCAAAAGTTGGGAGCCCAAGCCACCTTTTTAGGAGCCCAGATAAAATT